TTATTATTATTGCATTATTAGAGAATTAGCTCCACTATATTTGAGTTTTGTTTTCTGTTTTCCTTAAAATTAAGAAATGATCTGTCTAAAAATTAAATTATTTATATGAACAAGTTCTATGAAATATCATTATTCCATTTATTTTGGCTATTAGAATATAAGTAAAAAGTGTAAATGTTTATAGATTTATTTGTAAAAATTAACATTTTTGACCTGTTATTCATTATTGTGTTTGGAATCAAGGATTAACAGATAAGCCAAACTTTTAGGTGTTCAAGCTCTTTAACTCTCTATAATACTAGCTCGAAGGATTGGAAATACAAATTAAAGACTAATTGTTTAAGCAGATAGTACTTATTTTAATTTGAAAACTTGATAGAAGGTTAGCTAATAGAAGTTTAATAAATTGAGAATAACTTTTTATGATAAGAAAATAAAGTCTATTAAATCACTTACTTTAACAGTTATTAATATTAAAAAACAATAATTGTTTATTTGATTAATTGAATTATTAAATCGAAAAAACTTTAATACATTAAGTACTTTACAAAAAGATTTACATAATTATTAAATATTAAATGATGATCAAACTCATTATTATTACTGAAATAAAACAAATTTGAAGTCTTGTAAATCTTATGCTTTTTGAGCTTCGCCACTTAAAGTTTTTTAATTTAAAATTTCTTTTTTTAATGCAAGAGATTAATGGATTGTTCGATTGTGTTTCTGCATAGAAATCTAACAACTTTAATTTTATTTTATTATCCAATTCTATCAGCTCTTCCAATGGCTTAATCTTCGATGGCCAGCTTGATTATAATATATAATTACATTCCACCAGGGATCAACTAAAAATACATTGTTTGCCATAGTAAGATTTAATCCCGTTGAAGTAGATCTTAAGGAAAGTAAAAGCGCAATAGCATCTGTAGACTCCTTAAATTATTTGATTACTTTTTTTCTTTTATCAACGCTCATTTATCCAGTAATCCTGTAAGTAATTATTTCATTATCTTTAAACAAATTTTCAATCAATTATATCATATCGATTGATTGTGTGAATATTAAGACCTTCTATTACCATATTTCAATGTCTTTAAATCCTCGGATTCAGTCTCATTATCAATTTTGATTTCGATTAAATCATTAATTGATAAATTCATTCTGCATTATGGACACAATGACTATTAATTAATAATTTGAGTAAAACATCTATTTAATTATTATTTTATAGATTACTTTCGACAGAATACATGACCACAAGATGATAAACAAAATGTGTCAATTTAATCATTTTTACAAATTTCACATTCTTATATGTCTCCATTTCTTATATTTTCAATTAATGATTTTTTGTATAAATCTGTCATATTTGTACTTTATTATTTAATTTTAAAAAATAAATTAATTTTGTTATAATTTCTTCCATTGGTGTTTTATCTAAATTAATTTCTTTTAAGGCTAATTGAGGGTGATTACATGCTAATTTTAATTTATTAATTATTTAAAAGATATGAACATAAGATTTATTATTCTTTCCAATAGTAAAATGTTTAAATATATCTTAAGAACCTTGTAATAATTTTTAATAGAGTATTTTTTCTTTTTCATTTAGCTCCACCCAGCAAATTTCTTCTTCAACTTAATTTAAACCATCAAATCTTTAAGAATTTTTCGTTCTCCTTAGTATAATAGGTTATAAAATTTAAGATAATATTCTTATTTAATCTTCTTCATTTTCTTCTTTATTTATATATGTATTCCACCAAAAACTAAAAATCAAATAAATTAAATTACTATTGAGAGAAAGTTTCAACTTTAAGAAATTAAATTAAAGCAAATAAATCATCATGTTTATTTTACATAGGAGTACCTGTTAAGCACCACCTATAATCAGCCTCTAAAGCATTAGCACTTTTTGATTGTAATGTTTATCTAGTTTTAATATTATGAGCTTCATCTAAAATAACTCTATGGTATTTTTATTTAAATAAATTAAAATGATCTTTTGCTTTCTCTAATTTTTCATCACTTAATTATTTTTTCTACTTTTCTTTTTCAATTTTCTCCATCTTTTATTATAATTTGATTTCTTTTTTTTATTAACTTTCTTTTTTTTCTCTTCTCATTTAAGAATTAATATGTAGGATTAATAGAAGATTAATTTTATTAATCATCTTCAGAGCTACTGTTGTCATATATATCAATCGAATGAGAGAAATCACTGGATTGTTCATTAGAATAAATTCTTTCAGCAAAATTAACAGTCTAATTAGCTTCACTATCTTATTCAAGATTAATATTATTAATTTGACTCCAAATTTAATAATCTATACTCAATATTGCATAAGTAGTTAATATAATATTATAGCTCTTAATATCTATTTACTTGTTCTTTCTGTCTTTATTTTTATAATATACTAAAACTTTTCAACTATCTGGCTTAGAATGTATAGTAATTTCATTTTCCCATTATTTTAATACTGATTTAGGTACAACAATAAGAATTTAATTCTCATTATTAAGAGTTTCCAAAATTAATGCTAAAGCCATTAAAGTTTTTCCCAAACACATTTCTTCTGCTAAAATACCACCTTTAGTTTCTTAAAGTACTACTATCTCTTTAGATACCTTACCTGTAAACATGTTCACAAATAATGATTCACCACCTAATAATTTATACTCCTGCCATAATGGAGACAAACGTTACTTCTATTAAAATTTATTATCCTTTATTCTTCCTTCTCTATAAAGCATCCAAAATAATGCTTCCTTTTAATGTTTCTTNACAGAATACATGACCACAAGATGATAAACAAAATGTGTCAATTTAATCATTTTTACAAATTTCACATTCTTATATGTCTCCATTTCTTATATTTTCAATTAATGATTTTTTGTATAAATCTGTCATATTTGTACTTTATTATTTAATTTTAAAAAATAAATTAATTTTGTTATAATTTCTTCCATTGGTGTTTTATCTAAATTAATTTCTTTTAAGGCTAATTGAGGGTGATTACATGCTAATTTTAATTTATTAATTATTTAAAAGATATGAACATAAGATTTATTATTCTTTCCAATAGTAAAATGTTTAAATATATCTTAAGAACCTTGTAATAATTTTTAATAGAGTATTTTTTCTTTTTCATTTAGCTCCACCCAGCAAATTTCTTCTTCAACTTAATTTAAACCATCAAATCTTTAAGAATTTTTCGTTCTCCTTAGTATAATAGGTTATAAAATTTAAGATAATATTCTTATTTAATCTTCTTCATTTTCTTCTTTATTTATATATGTATTCCACCAAAAACTAAAAATCAAATAAATTAAATTACTATTGAGAGAAAGTTTCAACTTTAAGAAATTAAATTAAAGCAAATAAATCATCATGTTTATTTTACATAGGAGTACCTGTTAAGCACCACCTATAATCAGCCTCTAAAGCATTAGCACTTTTTGATTGTAATGTTTATCTAGTTTTAATATTATGAGCTTCATCTAAAATAACTCTATGGTATTTTTATTTAAATAAATTAAAATGATCTTTTGCTTTCTCTAATTTTTCATCACTTAATTATTTTTTCTACTTTTCTTTTTCAATTTTCTCCATCTTTTATTATAATTTGATTTCTTTTTTTTATTAACTTTCTTTTTTTTCTCTTCTCATTTAAGAATTAATATGTAGGATTAATAGAAGATTAATTTTATTAATCATCTTCAGAGCTACTGTTGTCATATATATCAATCGAATGAGAGAAATCACTGGATTGTTCATTAGAATAAATTCTTTCAGCAAAATTAACAGTCTAATTAGCTTCACTATCTTATTCAAGATTAATATTATTAATTTGACTCCAAATTTAATAATCTATACTCAATATTGCATAAGTAGTTAATATAATATTATAGCTCTTAATATCTATTTACTTGTTCTTTCTGTCTTTATTTTTATACTATACTAAAACTTTTCAACTATCTGGCTTAGAATGTATAGTAATTTCATTTTCCCATTATTTTAATACTGATTTAGGTACAACAATAAGAATTTAATTCTCATTATTAAGAGTTTCCAAAATTAATGCTAAAGCCATTAAAGTTTTTCCCAAACACATTTCTTCTGCTAAAATACCACCTTTAGTTTCTTAAAGTACTACTATCTCTTTAGATACCTTACCTGTAAACATGTTCACAAATAATGATTCACCACCTAATAATTTATACTCCTGCCATAATGGAGACAAACGTTACTTCTATTAAAATTTATTATCCTTTATTCTTCCTTCTCTATAAAGCATCCAAAATAATGCTTCCTTTTAATGTTTCTTAAGTTTAGAAATCATTAATTATGGTGTCTCTTATTCTTCAAAAATCAAATTATTAAAAATAAATATGTCATTTATATCCTTTTTATTCTCTTCTAAATTTACACTCTAGTATTTTATTTTTTCCTTGATTTCTTAAAATGCTTCTCTTTAAACATATTTTCTATTTCACTATATCCTTAATTCATTTAATTTTAATAGTATCTGAAATCAAAAAAATCATTATAATTATTCTATCTACTATGTACTTTAAAATCAATAAAATATAAATCATAAATTGCATTCTTTTAATATTAGTATATTTTTAGATTATGATCACTTAATAATAAGTATTTATCTTTATTAAATTTACTTAATGCATTTGTTATTAATTTTCTAACTTTAATTAAATTCTTATGTTAATTATTATAAATAGAATCTTGCTAAATTTTTTGATATAACTATTGGGTGCATAAAAATACTGTCTTTAAGACATAATCATCATAAGATTCTACTAAATAATTCTAAATTGAATTTTTGGATCGCTTTATAAATGTTTTCACTAATTCAAAAATTCTAAACCTATTCTTTAAAATAATACATGATTAATTGGATTAATCTCTTCCAAAAATGGAGAAAATTGCTTTTATATTGAGAAATATAACTCAAAGAATCTGTTTAATAAAGAGCTAAGATTTAGATCAAAGATTTTTCAAATAAATTATTACTAAATCTCTTATTATTAAGATAATTCTCAAATTGTTGTTGTTATCGTTTCTCTATAATAGGCCTGTGATATGATTTAAGTAAACTCCTCACTTAAAAATTTTTTTTAGATTTCTAAAAAAAGTAGCAATATTGAGCAAAAAAAATCTTAAATTATTTACTCTGTTTAATCAAACAATTTTCTTCTATTGATACATTCATAAAGTCAAACATCAATAACATAGACAGTCTTGCATATTTTAACAACTCCAATTAATTTTCTTCTAAAATTTTTTATTATTCTGTGGTCTTATTTTATCTAGCTATCTTCAATTCGTAATCATCATCTATAGCTAATTATGTAATATAAACTGAGATTTCAGCAATTTCAGGCATAGATTCATTCAATTTCATTATTTTTACAACTAATTTCACATAATCAGCATTTAATAAAAAAAACCATATTTCATCATATAGGTGTAAAATTTTACCATGATTATTATATACTGTTTTAATCTATTCTTTTTCCTTTCTTACTCTACAAACAATCCTCTCTTAATCATTAGGATTTAAGTTACTGCTAACAACATACAATTTTTTCTTCAATTATGATATTTTTTTATTCTAGTCAAAAATTTTTATTTTCACTTTTAATTTATCTTATTTTCCTATCCGATTTCCATTACTTTAATACTAACAGAAAAACTTTCCTGCAAATAGTTCGGTCTTTTTTAATTCCTCTTATTATTGCTTCTACATTTCGATACTTTTATAATTACTTAATAAAAACAATTATTTTAATCCTTATTATAAGAAAAAATATTTTCTTATATTTAATAATAAGGAAGTATCTAAGTTGTTTACTCATATCATTAATAATGAATAATTAATAAGCCTTTTTGTCCTTCTTTGAAGCAAGTTTAATGTAAATTATTATTTATATGCCTGAAAAATTGAAAGAGATTTGTATCAATGAATATTTGCAAAAGGATTATTGAGATAGTTTAAGAAATTGATTGAATGTATTAAGAAATAGAAATGCATATATTTTATGAGATGAAAGATTGAAAAAAGCAAGAGAAGAAGATGAGATCCTATAAAGTTAATATCATATGGCATTAAATTATTATTA